CCACCCCTGATTTCCCGCGTCCATTCAACCTGTTCTTGACCCTCTCTGCCTTCTCATCTTACCTCCGAACAGAAGCTGCCCATTTGGTCTCATGTATCTACTTGAGCTAAGAAGCACACTCTTCACAAATATCATTTTATGTCCCATAGTCCAGTCTAGTCTTTGTCTGAAGAGTTGGCCTCGGGAATTGTTTTAGTTCTGGGTTGACAGAGAGTCTGCGGGCCATGCTTTCCAGGGTTCCTCCAGTCTCAGTCAGACCATTAAGTCTGGTCTTTTTACTAGAATTTGAGTTCTGCACCCCACTTTTCTCCTGCTCCATCAGGGACTCTGTTGTGTTCCCTGTCAGGGCAGTCATTGGTGGTAGCTGGACACCATCTAGTTCTTCTGGTCTCAGGCTGATGGAGTCTCTGGTTTATGTGGCCCTTTCTGTCTCTTGGACTAATACTTTCCTTGTGACTTTGGTGTTCTTCATTCTCCTTTACTCCAGGTGGGTTGGGACCAATTGATGCATCTTAGACGCCCACTTGCTAGCTTTTAAGACCCCAGACGCCACTCACCAAAGTCGGATGTAGAACATTTTCTTAATAAACTTTGTTATGCCAGTTGACTTAAATGTCCCCTGAAAGCATGGTCCCCAGACCCCCGCCCCTGCTACTCTGTCACTCGCAGTGTTTGTTATATTCAGGAAACTTCTTAGCTTTGGTTTAGTCCAGTTGTGCTGACTTCCTCTGTAGTGTGTGCTATCTTCCCTTCACCTAAGATAATTCTTGTCTACTATCTAGTTAGTGAATAATCTTCTCCCTCCCTCCCCACCCTCATAGCCATCAAAGAATGTTTTCTGTGTTTAAACCTTTTCTTGAGTTCTTACAATAGTGGTCTTATACAGTATTTGAGGGACAGGTACTTGGAAAGTGCTCCAGGTGGACACTCATCAAGGGCGCGTGCGTGAATGCTCAGGCGCGCGCGCACACACACATACACACATACTTCCCAACTTATTCATTGCAAATAACCTTTTTTCAACGATGTAAATGACAACTCTACACGTGGATCTCGCCGGATGGAATACATAAGAATCAAATCAGCTAATCTGTGGAAAGAGACGATGGAAAAGCTCAATACCTTCAGTCAGAAGACCAGGGGCTGACTGGAACAGACCATCAGTTGGTCATATGCAAGTTCAAGTTGAAGCTAAAGAAAATTAAAACAAGTCCGTGAGAGCCAAAGTACGACCTTGAGTATATCTCACCTGAATTTGGAGACCATCTCAGGAATAGATTTGATGCATTGCGCACTGATGACCGAAGACCAGACGAGTTGTGGAATGACATCAAAAACACCGTACATGAAGAAGTCTAAAAGGCCATTAAAAAGACAAGAAAGAAAAGACCAAAATGGATGTCAGAAAAGACTTTGAAACTTGCTCTTGAACGTAGAGCAGCTAAAGCAAATGGAAGAAATGATGAAGTAAAAGAACTGAACAGTGGATTTCAAAGGGCAGCTTGAGAAGACAAAGTATTATAATGAAATATGCAAAGACCTGGAGTTAGAAAACCAAAAGTGAAGAACAGGTTCGGCATTTCTCAAGCTGAAAGAACTGAAGAAAAAATTCAAGCCTGGGGTTGCAATATTGAAGGATTCACAAGTGGATGGAAGGAATACACTGTACCAAAAAGAATTTCAGGAGGTAGTGTGTGATTAAGAACCGATGGCACTGAAGGAAAAAGTCCAAGCTGCACTAAAGACGTGAAAAATAAGGCTTCAGGAATTGACAGACTACCCATTGAGAGGTTTCAACAAACAGGTGCAGCACTAGAAGTACTCGCTCGTCTATGCCAATAAATTTGAAAGACAGCTGCCTGGCCAACCAACTGAAAGAGATCCATGTTTATGCCTATTCTCAAGAAAGGTGATCCAACAGAATGCAGAAATTGTGGAACAATATCATTAATATCACACACAAGCAAAATTTTGTTGAAGATCATTCGAAAGCAGTCGCAGCAGTATATCAACAGGGAACTGCCAGAAATTCAAGCCGGATTCAGGAGAGGACATGGAATGGGGGATATTATTGCTGATGTCAGGTGGTTCTATGCAAAGGTATTTGATTGTGTGGCTCGTAACAAATTATGGGTAATATTGCGAAGAATGGGAATTCCAGAACACTTATTTGTGCTCATTAGGAACCTGTACATAGACCAAGAGTCAGTTCTGTGTGGTTTAAAGTCAGGAAAAGTGTGTAACAGGGTTGTATCCTTTCGCCATACTTCCTCAGTCTGTATGCTGATCAGGTAATGCAAGAAGCTGGACTGTATGAAGAAAAATGTGGCATCAGGATTGGAGGAAGACTCAACAACCTGTGATATGCAGATGAGACAACCTTGACTTGAAGCACTTACTGATGAAGATCAAAGAGTGTATACAGCCTTCAGTATGGATTATACCTCAACATAAAACAGAAATCCTTACAACTGGACCAATAAGCAACATGATGATAAATAGAGAAAAGATTGATGTTGTCAAGGATTTCATTTTACTTGGATCCACAATCAGTGTCCATGGAAGCAGCAGTCAGGAAATCAAACGACACATTGCATTGGGCAAATCCACTGCAAAAGACCTATATAAAGTGTTCAAAAGCAAGGATGTCACTTTTAAGGACTAAGGTAGGCCTGACCCAAGCCATGGTGCTTTCATTCGCCTCATATGCATGTGAAAGCTCGGCAGTGAATAAAGAAGACCCAAGAATTGGTGCCTTTGAATTATGGTGTTGGCAAAGAATATTGAATATACTGTGGACTGCCAGAAGAACGAACAAGTCTGTCTTGGAAGAAGTATAGCAGAGTGCTCCTTGGAAGCGAGGATGGTGAGACTTTGACTCACATACTTTGGACATGTTATCAGGATGGACCAGTCCCTGGAGAAGGACATCATGCTTGGTAAAGTGGAGAGACAGCAAAAAAGAGGAAGACCCTTACTGAGATGGATTGACACAGTGGCTGCAGCAGTGGGCTCAAGCATAACAGTGACTGTGAGGATGGCACAGGACTGGGCAGTGTTTTGTTTTGTTGTACATAGGGTTGCTGTGAGTCAGAACAAAGTCAATGGCACCTGTCAACAACAAGGGAGCTCATTTTGCCCTCAGTAGCAGTGGTGGCACCCTCTCAGCAACTGACCCCAGTGTATTGAGTTTACTGCAAGCCCAGCTCTAGGAGCAGTTTCCTTCACCACATTCTCAAATCTATCCTGTGGTTTCCTTGCAGACAGTGCCACCTGCTGGTCAGAAGGTACTATCTCCCAGGCTAAGAGGATTTCGGAGAAAAACAACAGACACAGATTCCCCAGCTTATGCTCACTTTTCTCTGGTTGAAAGAATTCCGCTCTGCCCAGAAATATTAGGTTAATAACCTGGTGTTTACAGTCAGCCTAGGCTGATTAGAGTTTTCATACATGCTGCTTGTAGCATCTGAAATGGCTTTGTTGTTTTTAGCTGCCATCAAAAGTCAGCCCCCAATTTATGGCCACCCCATGCACAATGGAATAAAAGGGGGTCAGGTCCTGTGCCATCCCCATGATTGGTTGCAGACTGGACCATTGTGCTCCATAGGATTTTCATTGGCTGATTTTAAGAAGTATATCACCAGGCCTTTCTTAGTCTAGAAGCTCTGCTGAAACGTGTTTAGCATCATAGCAACACACAGTCCACCAGTGACGAATGGTGGCTGTGCATGAGGTATGTTGGCTGGAAGTCAAACCTGGAGCTCTTGCATAGAAGGCAAGAATTCTATCACTGATCCATCAATGACCTTGAAATGGCTTTAGGGTTGGTTCACTGAGGTGGGAGTGTTCCAGAAAGGGAATTGCACTAACTCATGCCAATAAGTAGAAGACTGGGTCAGGAAGTATAAATGCCAAGGCTAACTTCAGGTCTTTCCTGCTCAGAATGAGCCTTCTCTTCCCCTGAAGCCTATGCCCAGGTGTAACCTGTCCAAGGAAGGTAGTAGGAGAGATTTGTACAGCCCTTTGAGGTAAACGACATTGTTAGGGCATAGAGAGCGAAGAATAGATACAGTATGATCTCGAAGCCAAACAATAAAATTTGTATAATATAAAAAACTAACTCTAAAAAGTTAATTTATTAAAAATAATTCTCAGATAAATATGTTGACTTACTATACTATTTAAATTACTCTGGTAAGCAGAGATATAAAGTTGAAAGAAAGGGGCTTTAGGGACAAACTGAACTGAGTTTGAATGCCCATTATTGACAAGTTAGTGAACTTGTCAGAGTCTCAGTTTCCAGTAAAGTGTGAATAATAATAATACTCATTTCATGGGGTCCTGAGGTTATTCAATATTGTATGCCATTCTTGGCTCACTGTGAGGCTTGGCAAACTTTTTTAAAATGGATGGTTTTAATAAAGTCAGTCATAGTTAGGTCCATGTTTGGATCAGACTGTGAGCAGTTTTCATAATCTGATATTGTTCTGGAGCGAACACTAATTGCAGTTGCTATGTGAACTCTGCCATGGTTCTAGATTAATGGAGCAGAATAAACGAAGCTATGGAAAATCTTCAAAATCTTTAGATCCTGAATGGGGTGACATTTGAGATGAGCGTTAAAGGAGGAGCAAGTTTAAAAGAATTGGAGTTGAACAGACCAGGGTTCAAATCCCCACCCTGCCATTCATTAGCATTATGACCTCTCTGACGGTGAGTTTCCTCACTTGTAAGATATGGTAGCTCTTTTACCGTGTAAGTACCAAATGAGGGAACATGTAAAGTATGAAGCCTGAGATCTGTAGCCAGTAAGTGGCACCTTCTTGGTAATATGACAAGACAACAAGGTGAGCAAAAGCAGGGAGCCTAGGTACTGTAGGGTTACGTGTAGGAAGAGAAGAATTGATTATGTGTAGACGGGAAGAAACCAGGATATGAGCCACAGACAGCCCTTGAGCCTAACCTGAGGACCCAGCCTCACGGTGACTCTCTCTGTACAGGTGGCCACCATGTCCTTGAAGATTCAGACAAGCAACGTCACCAACAAGAATGACCCCAAATCCATCAACTCTCGGGTCTTCATTGGAAACCTCAACACAGCTGTGGTGAAGAAGTCAGATGTGGAAACCATCTTCTCCAAGTATGGCCGCGTGGCCGGCTGCTCCGTACACAAGGGTTATGCCTTTGTCCAGTATGCCAATGAGCGCCATGCCCGGGCAGCTGTGCTGGGAGAGAATGGGCGAGTGCTGGCCGGGCAGACACTGGGTAAGTTAAGTCTCTCTCCACAACCCTGCTCCTAGGGTCACCGTCAGGACAAGCTCCCCTCTTAGTCCTCTTTTCCGTTTCCCTCCACCAGTACCACTGCTGAGATTTTATAACTTATAAATTAGATACTTATAAAATTGATGCCTGTAGGGGAGAATTTTAGAAGCCCCTGGAAAACGCTTTTGTCCTGCCCTTCTCTCCCAAAAACCCAAACCAAACCTGTTAACATCGAGTCATTTCTGACTCATAGTGACCCTGTAGGACAGAGTAGAACTGCCCCATAGGGTTTCCAAGGAGTGGCTGGTGGATTCGAATTGCTGACATTTTGGTTAGCAGCTGAGCTCTTAACCACTGCACCACCCGGGCTCCCCCTTCTCTCCTGGTGCCTCTTAATGATGAGCCTTACAGTTCCAGTTAAAATGCAGAGAAAGGAAAAAGAGTGGACTAGCACAGCCACAGTGGGCTACGGGTGACTTAGGTTAGAACCCTTTCTGAGAGTCAGTAGGTGGAGCTAGGAGCACAAGAACAAAGCAGGTATCCTTGGCCTTGGTGTTAGATACATGTCTATGACCATTCTCGAGGTCTGCCCTTGAGTGTGTACACTGTGTATGTGTACGTACTTTTGTGTATATAAGTACGTTTGAGAAGGGATGTCTAATAATGTATTCATGAGAATGTGAGCACGTGGAGAATATGTGGCACGTAGCTTCACGTGTACATGTATAGTGTGTATGTATGTCAGATTTGAGTGTGTAAGCAGGTATGTATATATTCATTTATCAAATATTTACTGAGTTCCTGTCATGTACTAAGCAGCATTCTGGGCATAAAGATGTTTGGTAGAACATTGTATGAATGTATATTCGTTCATTTGTGTGTGGGGAGTTATGCGTATGATATTGGAGCTAAGTCTGAGTGTGCTTGGGAGTGATATGTTACCTATACATGTGACTTTGTTACATGGATGTGTAAGGTATGTCTGTATATGTATTCCTGTGTGCCTGGTGTATGTGACTACATGAGAACATGTATACGTGTGATGTGCGTGGTGTGTATGTGTGATCTGCTTGTGAGCATGTGTGTATCTAAATATATGTGAATATGTAAATAGACATATCCATATGATGTCTTGGTACAAGTCTAGTGTTTGAAGACTAAATGTATGAAGAGCTTTGTTATATGAGTGTATATTAGTGTATAATGTGTGAGTAAAGCTGATGTGTACCTTTAAGCATGTACATTGTTAGACATCTGCATGTGCCTGAGGGTGATGTGTATTTAGGGGTGCTGCTGTCATGCTAGCATTCTGACTCTACGTCGTCCCTCCACACAGACATCAACATGGCTGGAGAGCCCAAGCCCAACAGACCCAAGGGGCTAAAGAGAGCAGCATCTGCCATATACAGGTGGGGTGTTCTGTCTGTCTGGGTGGGATTGGTCCCTCTTTCCACAGAGGGAGTGAATTCTGGTGGTGACGGTGTGCTGAGCCTTGAACTTGTTGGGAGGAGTTCAGAGATGAGGGCCTGTGGAGAGTGGGCTGAGTGGCCATCCCTAAGCGCCGGCCCTCTCCCCTTTGTTTCCCCAGTGGCTACAGCTTTGACTATGATTACTACCGGGACGACTTCTACGACAGGTGAGCAGGGGAGGGGCGTGCCCAGGCATGAAACAGCCAAGCTGGAAGGGTCCTGAGAGATTGCTGGTGTAGCCCACTCAGTCCTCCAAATGGGAACTGGAGCCCAGATGTGAACAGGCATTTGCCCAAGGTTGCTCAGCAAATCAGTGACAGCGCTGGGACTAGGATCCAGTTCTGCTGGTGCCCAGGCCAGAGCTTCCACCACCACACCACACCAGTGTCTCTACTCTCTGACTGCCCTTCCTCTTCCTAGTCCTTGAGTGAGACTTGTGGGGACTGTATAGCCAAGGGACATGTAAACGTAGCCAGTTGGAATACAGAACAGGGCACAGGATGGGTTGCAGGGAGATCATACCCTCGCACTCCTGCTTTTCCGCTTCCTTACCTCTCTGAGGTGTCCTGACTAGGGGAAGGGAACCCAAGAGCTTAGTCTGAGCCTCTTGGCCTTAATATTTATACCAGGAGGCCAGCAGCCATTTAGGCCAGTAGCCATTTGGAGTCTGAATTAATCCCTGGTAGGCTGTGGTCCACCCTTTACCCCCAAGCCTGTCCAGACCCTAGTCTTGAGGCTGTGAGCTTTCACTCGAGCAAACAGCACCAGCCACATTGTCAAGTAGAAATCATGATAAGGACTGGCCCGAACCTCTCTTCCTCCCTGCTTCCCTTCCTCCACACCAGACTGCCCAGGACAAACAGAACCTCCCTGAGCCTTGGTTTTCTCACCTGTGCATGGTTTCAGGAGACAGTGTGGTATAGTGGAAAGTGCCCTAGCCTTGGAGTCAGAAGACCTAGTTGCTAATCTCAGCTATGCCACTGAATGGATTATGTGATTTTGGGCAAATCCCCTTCCCGGTCAGTGAAATGGGCTTGCACCAGGTGATCTTTCAGGGCCCCTCCAGCTCTGGGATTCTGTGGTTCAGTGATTCTGACCAAGGCCAGAGCCGCCCCCTCCCCTTGGGGGCAGAAATGCAGGGTTCAGGACTGGATCCCTTCCCAGAGACTCTCTGTCTCCAGCCATCATCACCCCAAGCAAGGGGTTTCCTGGACAAAGGAGTGTCATGGAATGGGTGTCAGATTGCCCAGTGAGGGCAGGTCTCCTGGCTGTCACCAGGAAAGTGGCCCCAAGGTCTTCCCTGAGGCTGTTGTTCCCTGTGGAAAGGTAGTAGCAGCAGATGTGGTAGGAGAGACTCTTCTCAGACTAACTGAGTTTCTGCCTCAGTTAGCAGGAAGAGAGGCCCCCCCGGAGATGCCTGGGTGACAACACTGGGGACAGCACACAGTCGGGAGCCCTGGCCTATGGTTTGCCTGCACAAGCTTGATGCATGCCCGTGGGCCTTTTGGCCTCTTTCTCTGAAGTGGAGTCAGAAGGGTGGGGTGATCAAGAGGGCCCAGAATAAGGAGAGGAGCCAGGACTCCAGCCTCATGTCTCTGAGGTCATGGGCCCCAGAGGTGAAGGTCTCAGTACCTCTGGCTGTCTGAGACCCTCACCTTTTACCTATCTCACTTTCTAAAGTGTGTTTTTTAACCAAGTTCTCTCATGCTGTACCCTCACAGTAGCCTCGGTGAAGGGGGAGACACAGGATCTGGGGTAGCCATCCTTATTAGGCAGTTGGGAAAACTGAGGCTCAGGTAGGCTCGGGGATAGCCCCCCCCGCCCGCCTTCTGTCCCTAGCTGGGGATTCATGCTACTTTGGAGAGATGTGCAAACTCTGACCAGAGGTTGGGGTGGCAGTTGACTGAGCAGAAACAATGTCATATAATAGAGCAGGCCTGCATGTCAGAGTGATCTAGGGAAAGTTCCTTCTTGGGGGCTCGTCTTCAGTTTGCGTCTCTGTTGAATGGGGACATAACCACTACCATCTGCCACCTCACCTACCGTTACCTGTCCTGGCTGGTAGGAGAGGTGGATTTAGTGAAGATTCCAGCAGCCATCGGGGTCCAGAAGCCCTTCCTTGTCACCCCAGGGCTTGTTGGGAGCAGGCAGAGGCGTGCAGAGCTGGACATCCAGCCCCCACACCAGCCATGCACAGGTTGGGCCAGAACCACAGTACCTCTTGGCGGCCACGAGCCATACTGCAGCCTCTGGCCCGTTTGCCCTCACAGGCTCTTCGACTATCGGGGCCGCCTGTCACCAGTGCCAGTGCCCAGGGCGGTCCCCGTGAAGCGACCCCGGGTCACGGTCCCCTTGGTCCGGCGTGTCAAAACCACCATACCTGTCAAGCTCTTTGCCCGCTCCACTGCCATCACCACCAGCTCAGCCAAGATCAAGTGTGAGTGACTATCTCTTCTTCCTAGATAATTTTCATTTTTGTCATTAGCAAAGTAATAGAATCACATTTTTTTACATTGGAAAATAGATAAAGAGAACAAATCTCTCACAGTTCTGCAGCTCTCAGCTCTAACACAACCAAGTGCGTATTTTCATGCATTTCTAAGAGGAAAAGGCTGACGTTTGGGGAGGAGGGTCTTGGGTTGGGCATGCAGAGTCAGTGCTGTGAGATGGGGTTGTCTTTTCTCTAGTAAGAACAAGGACAGGCCCACTACTCCACCTTCATTCTGTTGTACACATACGGTGGTCAGTGGGTGCACCACACAGGCATCTGGGAAGTCTGATTGCAAAAGACCCACATTTGCACACTTTGAAAGACAGCACCCTATATAACACAAGCAAAGACACACACACACTTGCTCAGGTGCACACAGATATGTACACCACACCTGCATTTTTGTTCATCCCTCGTCTCCTTTAGAGTTGAGAGGTGTGGAGAAAAAGACATCCAGGTTCAGTAGTGTGGGCTGGTCACTGTAGGGATGGCCTCCAGGGAGTCACAGGAGGAAGCCCCAGGCAGCTCCAGCTTTTCCCTGGCCAGTAAAAGAATAGTAGACAAGGGCAGTTCCTGCCGCTGGCCTGCCAGCCTTCCTAGTTGACAGAATAGGTGTGGGGTCTTGTGTTAGTGTCAAATTCCCACATCCCCCACGACAGCTCTGTCCCTCCTCTATTCCCAGTAAAGAGCAGTGAGCTGCAGACCATCAAGACAGAGTTGACGCAGATCAAGTCCAACATTGATGCCTTGCTGGGCCGCCTGGAGCAGATTGCTGAGGAGCAAAAGGCCAACCCAGGTCAGTCCCCAAGGGTCCTCACCTAGCTCAATGACCAGGAGCACAGGGCAGAGCGGGGGAGACAGTGCACTGGGGGAAGAGGGGCTGGAGGGCCTCCAATCCTCAGAAGTCTGCAGACCTGGGCCCATCTGGATCCACTATGCTGAGGCCTACCTTCCTCTAAGGTGCTGCCTTGGGCAGTTGCCTGAGGCTGAATTTTATTTCCTCCCACCCCTTCTCAAGATGGCAAGAAGAAAGGTGACAGTGCCAGTGCCAGTGCCAGTGGCAGTGGCAGTAGTGGTGGTAATAGCCGGCCGCCAGCCCCCCAAGAGGACACAGCTTCTGAGGCAGGCACGCCCCAGGGAGAAGCACAGGCTCGAGATGACGGTGATGAGGAGGGGCTGCTGACACACAGCGAGGAAGAGCTGGTGAGAGCCTGGCCACGGGCATGGTTGGATGGGGCTGGGATTGGGCTTTGTACTCCTAGTGGCAGGAGGGCCTTAGTGGAGGGGGAGCCTCTGAGCAGGCCGGCCTCTCTGTGAGCTCCCTTCTTCCTCTTTCCCAGGGCTTCTAGTCCTGTGGGGAAGAGGGAGGAATAAGTAGGGAGTAGTTGCCTATTTTAACTACCAGTCAGAAGCACCACTTTCATCCTTCATTTAACCTTAACAACTGCCCTGTGCCATGCAAAGTATTTCTCTTCTAACATTTCATTCTGTAAGGAAACTGAGGCACAGAGGAATTAGAGCCTCATAGAGCTAATAAGGGCTGAAGCTGGATTTGAGCCCAGACTTCTTCACTGAGTCTGGGCTTTTTCCTTTTCATCACTGCTGGGTTCCAGCACGAGGACAGATGGGTTTATGGTCATGACAGTCAAGAGGTCTTTCTCACACCCAGCTTGTCTCCCTTTCTTTGAACCTGGTTGGTACTTTATCTTCCTCTGTGGGCATAGTAGTGTCTGTAAGGCCTTAACGAAGGCATAGCCGCCCCAAAGATGGGAAGCTCCCCACTCTACAAGACTTTCAGCCTGCTCCAATCCAAGAAGGTCTTTCTGTGTAGAGAAAACTGCCCGGACTCCCTTAAGTGGTCCTTTATCTCTCCTGTGGGGCTCTCAGGATCCCAAGCCAGCCTTGTTTAGGCTGGCCCTATAGTCAGTTCCCTTGGCTGTGCCTCATCCCCACTATGTTTCGGGCCCAGGGTCCTTCTGGGCAGATGGCCCAGAGCAGGACTCAGAGCTTTCAGTGAGTGATGTATGGTCTCTTGTTGCCTCCTCCCTACCAGGAGCACAGCCAGGACACAGATGCAGAGGATGGGGCCTTGCAGTAGGCAGGTACGGGGGTCCTGGTGGGCAGGGTGTGGGAAAGCAGTGAAGTGCTGGTCCTAGGTGGCCATGTCTTTCCCTGGGATGGGCAGGGAGCATCATGAAGCAGACCTGGTAGGATAGCCCTGTGTCTGGGACTTAAGGCCCCTCCATTCCCTGCCATCCTACCACTCCGCTTTGTGGTTGGGGCTTGGTAGGCTGAGGGGATGTGCTAGCCAGGCCTACCTCAGCACACTCTGAGCCATGTTGCCTGTCTCCACCCTTGAGGAGCTCATGGGCTGGTGGAGGTTAACACAAACTATTAGCACCCAGTATGAGCAGGACAACAATAGAAGGAAGCCCAGGGGCTGGGAGCGCCAGAGGGGAAGCCTGACTTAGCTAGGGCCTCAGAGAGGGTTGTGGGGGAAGAAGTGCTGTCTAGCTGAGCCTGCTTGTGATTGAGGGAGAAGCATTCCACACCAACGGGATAGCATAAGCAGAGGCACAGAGGTGTGACAGAGCTTCCTGGGTGGGGAACAGCCAAGAGCCTCCTGTGGCTGCAGCCCCAGCTCTGCAGAGCAGAGAGAGGAAGCTGCACATCATCAGAGGACCAATTATGAAAGGTCTTACATGCCAGGCTAAGGGGCATGGACTGGCTCCCGTCATGGGGAGGAAGTTCCCTGTGTGCCAGGAGCTGTACTTACTTTATCTGATTTAATCTGCAGCAACCCTGCAAGGTTATGATTGTGTCAACATAACAAGATGTGGAAACTGAGGTGCTGGAAGGTGCAGGAGCTACACATATCTCACAAGATCTCAAAGTAGTAATTGGTAGAGCCTAGATTTAAACCAGTGGTGTATGGCCTCAAAGCTCACTCTTGCCACTGTTCACCACCCTACTCTGCCCTTCCCTAGAGAAAAGCCAGGCCAAACCTAATAAAATAACCCATTGCCATAGAGTCAATTTTGACTCATAGTTACCCTATGGGACAGAGTAGAACTGCTCCATAGGGTTTCCAATGAGCAGCTGATGGATCCGAACTGCTAACCTTCTGGTTAGCAGCCAAGCTCTTATCCACTGTGCCACTGGGGCTCCAACGGCAACTTTGCCTGATCTCTATGCCATTCCCGTGAGGCCATGTTCAGAGTAAGACATATTTGGGTAGGGGGAGGTCTCACCAGCACTACCAGAAAGGTGTCTTGATACCTAAAACATTCATGGATAAGATCCTCCACAAGTGAAGGCTTCCCAGAGCAGTTGAGCTAGGAAATTCTGCATATGCAGTCTTGCCTTTTGGAGATGCATGGTTGGTATTACCAAGGAAGCTAAGTTTTATCTCGTTCAGCCATTTCACAAGGTGAGGTACAGGGCCTCAGATGAGGAAATGGAGGTTCAAGGAGGGGGAGAAACTCGCCTAAGGTTACATGGCCAGAAAATTGTGAGGCTAGAGCCAGAGCCCGGGCATCTCCATCTGCAAACACAACTCTGGCCTTTCCTCCTTATCACCTGTTGTCAAATCATGAGGGTGCCTTCCTCTCAGCCTTAGTCTCTTCTTTGTCTCCCTTTCTCTCAGCCTAACAGGAGTGATGGCTACCGGCAGGAGAAAGGCGTGCACTATCCCAGGCCCCAAGCCGGGCACCCACCCCTGGGTGCCTCCCCACAGTGGGTACCAGAGGAGAGCTGGCAGCAGGCACCTCTTTCCCACTGTGCATCCCAGCCAGTGCTACTTCCTCTCTAGGTGGAGCTGTCAGCCTGCCCCTTCCTCATGCACCCTCCTAGTCTGTATTGCTCAGGCCAGAGGGCAGAGCACAGAGATCTCCCCACACTCTGCCTCCCCTCCCCAGGACACTCCCAGGTTTGGGATTTTTCTATAGGTTTGGAGAAGGTGGGGCAACAGGGAGGGGACCCTGACAATAAAGAGATTGGATCCCAACCTGCTCTGAGATAGGATGGTTTGTATTTTCTCACAGAGGTGTCCTGGCCCTCCTGCCCAACCAGAAAGCCAGTCTACAGTACCCCTCTTCTGTTCTCACCCCTTCACCCCTCCCTGCCCAGTAACAGTGACTGGGATGCCTAACACTGATCCCTCTGGGTCTTAATTTCCTTGGCTAACAAGGGGATAAAAATGGGCAGTAGGGCTGTTGGGGAAGGTCAGATATACCAGAGACCATGAGAGTACCTTGCTGGCTGATGTGCCAAGCGCTTGTGAAGGCATCGGTGACCCACCTCGTCACCCAGTAGCAGGTCGAGGCCTCATCTCTTTCCTAAGCCACTCACTAAGTGTGGTTTTTCCCCAGCTCTAAAATGATTCTAGAATCTGCCTCCTCCTCCACCTTTTCTGCCACTGTCCTGGTTTAGGACACTGTGGTTTTTTCTTGGACTTTGTCCCTGCACCAGCCTCCCAATCTTCAGCTTCTCCTCAGCCCCATTTCCCGCCAGCCACCACAGTGTTACTTCTGAAACGTGTCCTTTCCCTGCATAGAACCATTTACTGACTGACTCCTCATCTTCAGGACAAAACCCCTGCTCCTGAATGTGGGGTCCATGATCCTGCTTACTCTGGCCTCTCCTGTCTCGTTGCCACATCTCTTTTCTGCCCCACCCATAAACCTTACAGTTCAGCCACACAGAACATTTCTCATACTTCACACTCATAGGCAGTTTTGATAGCAAGTTACCTAAAGCAGTAGGAGGTTTGCATCAAGGTACACGTGGCCTGTCTGCATGTACCTTGGGTGACCTATCTAGATATTGCCTGGGAGGCAGGTAGTCCAGTAGGGACAATGTTCTGTCTGTAACAACTGGCCGGTTTCCCTCAAACTTCTGCTTCTTCACGGTGTACATGTGGCTCATCGTGTCCTCCTAACCACCATCTTTCCCATTCAGGCCCCACCATGAACTGGCCAGTTTTCCCCACGTTCATATTCCCAGAGGGAATATGTTGCCACAGCAGATACTTTTGAGTCACTCTTAGGTTACAAGTACCCACGCTTGTCCATTGAAGTGGATGATACAAATGTGGCCACGGAAGCTAGTCTCACTGGTATGGAGCCGTGGGTGGGCAGGCACCCAGAAGCATGTTTTGTTCCAGACCTCACACATTTCTGCTTTCTCCACCTTGGAAATATGTGCTTGTCATTAAGCTGTTGCTCTAGTGTCACTGTCTCTGAGAAGCCTCTCAGACCAGCCTTCTGCTCTTTAAGAACTGCTTATTCTTTCTTCTGGACAGCCTTTCTCAACACAAGACATTTAGTCCTGTCATCAGAAAGAGGTTGGAGTGTCTCCCTCCAGCTTTGCATGTTCCTTAAAATTTCCAGGCGTGCTGGAATCCTCATTGAAAATTTCCACTTTGAAACCAACAGTTCTACCATAGCCTCCACTGAAGCGTCCCCATGGCTTTGGCTCCAGGTTTTGGTGGAGGATGAAGGTTGGGCTTGGGACAATGCTTGGCTCTCCTGGGTATGAAAACCCCCAGGAAAGTCTTTGTTGTGTCACGCCTCCCTCAGCAGGCAGCCCTCTTGCCTGCCGTCATTGGCAGGCCAGCAGTCTGAAGCCCTGGGGTGTAACTCTGGGCCTCAGCATTCTCGAGCTGTGCTCAGTGTGACTGGGCCAGCTCTGTGGCAGCCAGAGATTTAGACCCACAGCTGAGCCAAGGGCCCCAGACCCTGCTTGACCATTGCCTCTTGGTATGATTTAGAGCACTATTTCTGCCCCTTCCGAGATTTAGTTGCCCAGTAGGCATCACAGTCCCCGTATATCTGCCCGCAGCAGCGGGGGGAGAGTGACGATAAGAGGCTCCGTGAAGAGATGGGCCACACACCCTTATGGTAGAGACTGAGACCCTCTGAGGGGCCTGGGGTGAGAATAGGGCCTTTGGAACTGGGCTGAGCCCTGGCCCTCCTTGGTCAAAACAAAGACTCAGGAGAGATGAAGAAGAGTGTCCAGAAGAAGGGGCTAGGCCTCATCCCCTAGGAAGGGCCCTCAGTGGAACACAGCCCTCCAATCCCTGAACCCACAATCTCTCCTCGCTGCCCAGAACACCCGAGCCAGGTTTGTAGCAGACGTGCTTGTGTAGCCAGGCAGATGACTGCCCTTCCTGGGTCTTGGTATCTTCATCTGTACAATGTGGGGAACAGCTGCCCTGGGCTGGCACTGTGACCCTAGAGCCTAGTGCTGTGTACCCATTATAGGTCCTACCCAGCAGTCCTACTGAGTCACTCATTTCTTAGAGCTTGTGGGGCAGGTAGTTCAGTAGAGACTATGGGCTTCCTTAGTATGCCAGGCTTGGAGGGCCATGTAAAGAGTAGGGAAGACAACTTCAAGGGCAGCGAGCATCCGCCCTACCCACCTCTACCCATAAGGCCCCACATAATCACTCTGGCACCGGGGCACATGCTGGACAGAGAATGAGATCCCGCATCCTGGTACTCCAGAAAAACCCCTGAGCTTTTTCCAGCCTTTGGGAATAGTTGGGCCCTTCAGTGGGAGGTTTGTATCCATAAAGCCCTGCATACACATGCCCTTCCTTTCTAGTCTGGGAGATGATAGGTCCCTTTCCACTGCCCAGCGATTTTCATCTATCTGGCCAATTTCTGAAAACTCTAAAAGGAGATGGTGAAGAAATGTGATACCAGATTCCGCCCAAAGAACCAATCTTGTCTAGATGTTTTCAAGATCTGAAGCCCCATTTGTGATCCTAGCAGCCATCTTGAAGGAATATAGTGGCCAGTAGGTTTACTGGATTGTGAGCTAAGAGGCCTGGGGGTTTACCTGCCTCCCCCATATTACTGCCAACAAGGTCTGTGACCATGGGCAAGTCTTTCCTTTCTAGGTCTCAGTTTCCTCATTTGTAAGATATGAGGGGTTGGTCTAGATCAGGGATAGCAAATGGGCCTTGTATCAGTTATTGACTGTTGTACAACAAACCACCCCCAAATTTAGTAGCTTTAAACATTTATTAGCTCTTGATTCTTTGGCTTGGCAGTTTGGGATGGGCTCAGCTGGACAGTTCTACTTATCTCAAATGGCTCTCATGGCTGAAGTCAGCTGGCAGATTGGGGACTGCTTGGTCCCAGATGGCCTCAGTATCCAGTGGTTGGGGCAACAGGGGCAATGGGCCACACATTCTGAGGATCTAATAATCCTGGCCCGGGTTTCTTTACATGACGTTGGGTTCCAAAAGCAGCAAGAGAGGGCAAGCCTCAATGTGCAAGTGGTTTTCAAACTCCTGCTTGTGTCATGTTTGGTAAGGTTTTATTGTGGCGAGGTGGTTAAGAGCTACAGCTGCTGACCAAAAGGTCGGCAGTTGGAATCTACCACCCACTACTTGGAAACCCGACGTGGGGGCAATTGTACTCTGTCCTATAGGGTCGCTATGAGTCAGAACCGACTCAACGGCACCTAAGAACGACGAGATTGGCCAAAGCAAGTCACATGGCTACGCCTAAATTTCTCTTGACGGGAGGTGCTTCACAATGTGGCCATGGTTTGTTTTTAATCTTCCTCAGGCCTCATTTCACCTGCCAGCCAACTCTCAACAAATTCGTAGTGGCTGCCTAGAGTGGTTATGGAGGATTTGGAGCTATTCTTAGGCTATTAGGAAATAGTAACAAGATAGTTTTGTGATGTCTGATTGGGTCACTATGAGTTGGAATTGACTTGATGGCAATGGGTTGAGTTTGGTATTATAAGCAAGGCATTGAAATTTGGATGCATGAGTGCTAGATATTTGCCACCCCTGGCGAGTTTGACCCATGAGATCATGTCCTGTCCCATAAGGACATTATATACTACTCGGTGGGCCTGTCTGTTAAGACCACAGAAGTGCAGAAAGCAGAGCAGGGCAAAAGATTCTGAGCCAGGTGTCCTGGATTTGAATCCAGTTTGTCCGCTGATTCACTGGGGGTTTGGGCAAATCAAAATCCCTCCTCTTGTGGCCATTCTTCATAATAATGATAAACCACTTCCTGAATACTTGCTGTGTAACAGGCACATTTTACACTTATTTAATCTCCACAACCACCTGTAGGGGGATTTAGTGAGACCTTGTGATTGCAAGTTACAGAAACTCAAGCCTGCTTAATTAAGCAGGAGGAAGTTTACTGGCTCATGAAGTGAAAAGTCCAGGGATAGATCGGCAAACACAGTGGGACCCAGGGGTTCAAAAGCTGCCATCAGGAACTTGTTTCTCTTTTCCTCAGCTCTGCTTCCTCAGGATTGGTGTCACTCTCAGGCAGGTGCTAAGTGCTGCTAGAGATGGCTACAGAGCATGTAAGGGTGGAGGGGGAGAGGGAAGAATCCCTAAAAGATAAGGGTTCTATTACTGGAAGAAAGAAGGCATGGGCCAATAAAAACAACAGGTCTTCATTGTGTGGTTATGCTCATTTTATAGATGTGTCGGTTTTAAAACATGGTCCCATTGAGAGGTGGTGTCCAAATCCTCTCCCCTGTATCTGGACCATGACTATTTAATCAATAGAATATGACATTGGTGATGCTATGCCAGTTTTCCCCGCCAGATCTTAAGAAACTAGCAGCTTTCACTTTTGTCTCTTGGGACACTCGCTCTTGGAACCCAGTCACTGTGCTGTGAAGAAGCCCAGGCCACATGGAGAAGCCATGTGTAGATGTTCCAGCTGAATGCCAGTATCAACTGCCAGACATGAGTGAGGAAGCCTTCGAGATGACTTCATCCCTAGCCACCATCTGACTATCCACATGAGAATCGAGTAAGAACTGCCTAGCTGATCCTAGCCAAATCCCACTACCATGAGGGATAATAATAAAATGATTGTTGTTCTTTTAAGCCACAAAGCTTTGGAGTGATTTGTTATATGTCACTAGATAACCAGAACAGAAACTGAGGATCAAAGAGGTTAAGTAGCTTACTCTAGGAGGAAGTGGTTAAGAGTATAGGCTTTGTCAAACTGAGTTCCTGTCCAAACTATTTGTTGTGTGACCTTAGGCAAGTAATTTAACGTCTCTGAGCCTCATTTTCCTCATCTGAAAAACAGATGAAAAAATAAATGAGAGCATTACCTAATCCAATCCAGATTCATGTGATTTTTCTTTTTTAAAAAAGATTTTTTTTTCCCCTCTAGGGAAACTAGTAGAAGAACAAACCATATTTTTTTTTTTTTTTTTTTTTTTTTGGCTGCTTATTTATACCCAACCCGTTCCAAAAAGTATTTCAGGCGGCTTACAAATTGAAAATCAAAATTATAAAGATAAGGCAAAGGAAGATAAGGAAAAGAAGGCCTCTTTGTGTTCCAATTCTAGGAGTTACTGCAGTCAAGAGGGACATGTGGCATCCATCAGTAAGCCTGTGGGGCAAGTCTGGTGGGCCAGTGTAGGAGATACTCGTCCCCGTATTACAGGTTGGGAAACTGAGACTCAAGGTTGAATGATTTGCCCAAGATCATGTCACTGGGAAGAGGTGGAGAAAGGATGCAAACCTGAGCACTCTATTCCCCTAACCCTGTTATAAATGACTCTCCTTGAAATTCCTCTTCGTTTTCGTGACAACAGTCTCTCCCGGCTCTTTTCTTCTGTGTACTCCTCAAGTTTCTTTTGCTGAATCTTCCTATTATACCAGCACCTCTCTACCGTCTTCTTCTGAATATACTCTCTGGGACACCTAATCCATGGCTTCAGACTCCACACAAATGCTTCTGTATTCTCCACCTCTAACTCAGCCCTTCCCCGTGAGCACCAGAGAGATATATACCTATGCCCATCCAAAAATCAGCCAGTGGAAACCCTGTGGATCACAACGGTCAGATCCACAACTAACCAGGCAGCGTTTCATTCCATCGTGTACGGGGTCACCGTAAGTTGGGGGCCAACTCAGCAGCTAACAAATCTGGTAGCTGCACTTGGATGTCCACAAGGACCTCAGTCAGGCCCTGTCCTGTCCAGCCTCCAGTCTGTTTTTCTTCATGAGTTCCTCATCTTGGGGAATGGCACCACTGTCCATCCTGTTAGCGTCCCCCACTCATCCCTAATTGTCAACTCATGTTAATTTTATTTCCATGGTATGCTTGGCTTTAACCCCTGCTTTTCATCACCATTGCCTTAGGTTAGGCCCTTCTCATTTCTTGGACTTTTGCAATAACCTGCCTCTTAACTTTCTACTAGTCTTTCCTTTTTACCACCACCAGAGTTCCTCATTGCCCACTGAATAAAATACAGACCCACTGAGTAAGATATCGCCCACTGAATAAAATATATGGCACATAAGCCGTCAAGGATCTGACTTCTTCCCCTCTCTCTAGCTCCCCTCTCCCAGTCTGCCCCTATTCTCAAGCCACATGGAACTATCTGTAGGAAGAGATATGCTGTCTTGGCCTTTGTGCCTTACACATGTCATTGCCTCTCCCTGAAATGCTTTGTCTCCTCCCACTGGCTAACCTTCTTTATCCTTTATAGCTCAGCTCAAAAGTCGCCTTCTCAAGGACACTTTCCTGGCCCCTCCCGCGTACTATATCACACCTCTTACTAGGCTGTATTTGCCACTGGTTTGCTGATCTGTTGTCTCCACTAGTCTGTAAGCTTCTGGAGGGCAGGAACCGCCTTTTGCTGCTTGCACTCAGGTAATACTTTTAAACATGCCATCAAGAGGCAGCATTGCAGAGCGGTTAAGAGCATAGGCGCTGAAGCCCAAATGCCTGGGACTGCATCCTGGCCCCACCACTTACCAGTTACGTGACCTTAGGCAAGTGACTTAACCTGTGTGAGTCTCCATTTCATCTGTAAAATAGGGATTAAACACCTACCTGAAAGGGTTGCTGGAAAGATTAAATGAGTGTGTCTATATTTATGAAATACCTAGAACAGGGCCTGGCATATAGTAAGGACTTTGGTAGTGTTGGCCATTTGTCATGTAAAATAATTTAAGAATAGCCCAGATTCTGGGCCTCATAACAGGCATCTGGTAATAGTGTACTAGTACATCTGGGGCTGAAAAATGAAACAGTCTTCATTCTCAGAGGTTAAAATGTTTTGATACTAAAGCTGTTGCCACTTATGGTATGATTACGTTTGGGAAAAGGGAAATGGTTATAGATACTACTAGCCTTGAAAAGGTTCTTGCCCTCTGACCCTGGAATTCCACCCTGGATACTCAGCCAAAGGAACGTATTCAACATTCGTCTCACCGTTACCTCTTTGAGGTAGGTATTTTCCCCATTTTATAGCTAAGAATATGGGTAGGTTAATAACCAGTGGCAGAAGAGGATTGCCACTTTGGACTGTCCTGAGCCCATTCTCTGCATTGTCAAGAATTAAACTCCCCAAACACACACCCACCATTAGGGTACTGATTTAATAAACTATGGCATAACATGAATAAAATCTTAAGATTTTTAAAATTAGAAAGACTGTACTAATTTGGGGAAAAATGCCCTTGACACTAGAAGTGCTATGGTGGTAGGACTATGGGAGTTTAAAAGTTTATTTCACCTTTTTCACTTTTAAAAAAACGTGGTACAAAGTTTAACTTCTAAAAATATGTTGCAAACTGTAATGTTCTGTTCAAATGTGAAACTTTAGCATTGCTGGGGCAAAGGATCTGGACTGGGAGCCTGGGTGCAGCACTGGGGCCTCACACACCATGGTAGTTCTTCCAGGACTGTCCATTCCAGCCTGGGTCTCTGCAGATCACTTAACCTGCAAGAAGTTTTAGCAGGGGTGGGAATAGGAGAGGCTACAAAATTCTACACTTCTAAAGATACCCATTCATTCGAATATTTGTGGAGCACCTACAACTTGCTAGGTACTGCCTGCTGTCAGCAGTGGGACCCAAGTGAACAAAACAAACATTTCTGCTCTTAACGTCATGTTCTAGTGGGCTGGGGAGAAACATCTGACACTGTCCGTGTGAATGAGCCAGATGGGAAAAGCTTTTTTTTTTTTTTTTTTTTTTTTTTTAAGCTTTTCTATAGATTGGGTAAGTGGGGTCAAAGAGGGTTTGTAAACATTAGAGATACAACCACATGTTTAGGTGCTGATAGAAATGCACATTAACATACTAAGGACTTAGGCAGCAGTCAGGGGACCTGTTTACCTATTCTCAAACTTTACCATGGAATCCCTTTTTTTTTTTCCCTTCTTTATTAGGAACACTTTTCAGCACTGTTTACTAAAATGCTTTTGGAAAGAATGTGGCTCTTGATCAGAAACCCTTAACTGCCTTTGCTTTTTCACTCTATTCAAAGTTCCTTCCAACTGAGCTGTGGTTAAGACTAGAGAAAGAATAGAGGTGGGTGCAACCGTATGGGTAATTGAGGAGCAATGCGTCATTTTCAATATAGTCAATCCAATTTTAACCAAACAATATCTCAATGGACATAATACTAAAAGGGCTAGATCAGTCCTGAGAATTTAAGAATGAAGTTAAAAATTGGGGTGTTGCCAAGTGTGCCAACCTGTCACAAATCTGTAAAGTCCCGTGTCTTCCTAAGGGGTCCCACTAAGAAATAAAACACACACACATAAAAAATAACAAAGTACTAATTACACAAGAGGCACTGATCCTTGCTTTATTCACGCAGTAACATCCAACATTTGTTACAGCTTGTTCTCCAAACTCAAAATGCCTTCAGAAACCTGGGTTCTACCCAGCAGTGCTGTCAAATAGTTTTTAAACTGTAGTTGAGAACAACAACAGAAAAAGATTTGCTAGTAAAACTGGGAATTGTGTGGACGTAGATACAAAAAAAGGAGAAAGGGATCATAAAGAGCAGTCAGGTTCATCATGGCAGTGGTGGCAGCTCCGTCAGTGTGGCCCCCTCAGGAGGGCCTCCTGGGTTGAAGGAATGCTCCCTCCACCGCTTCACAACCAAGGTGCTTTACAGCACTTGGCATGTTACTTCAAGGGTCACAGTGATTAAAAACACCACGGTCAAGACATTCTGGGCAGACATGACTGCTCCTGGGCCACTTAGCAATAATAGTCAGGCAATAAAGTGAGGAGCAGCATGTATGTCCTCATCCTCAGTAAGTGCGTGCAAGGCAGACCACAGCATAGACATAGATTATCTTGTCCCCTGTGCTCCAATGGAGGAATACCCCTTTTAGCCAAATCCTCAGCAGAACTGGAGGCACCAGAAGCACCACACAGCATCTCTTGGGTTCTCATGGTCACATTCAAAAGCTGCTTTATTACAGAAAATAGAAAAGCATTTGTGGTGGGCCTTCTTCAAACCCAGGACCTAAGTTGGGGGGAGGGGGTTTAATCACCATTTGGACTCTTCTCAGAAGAGTCCCCTGTACTGCACACACATCACTTCTTCATCAACAGGGATGCCCAAGCAGGGTTTTTCTTAGTGTGCCAGTTACAAGACACACACTTAAAAGGTTATGTTTCTAAGACTCTCTTAGTAGCCAATAAGAAGAAATTTCTAACGGTGAGGGTACCTAGCACCTTGAATTCTCTCATGTGGGAACAGCTGGAGGACTTGGCAGTGAGGTAGTAGCAACAATCCTCACGCAATAAAAATAATTTAATCTATGTGATCCTTCCCTGGACATTGAAAACAGGCAGTCCTCTCCCAGAGTTTATGCTCGCTCGCTCGCTCTCTCGTGTGAAGCAGTGTCTACTTTGTGTCTCAAGAGAAGGTGAGAAGGAAAATGGCTGCCCAGCTGAAGTGCCTGCCAATGTCCAGTTTCTGAAGACAAGGATACAGAGACTCGTCAGCGCCCAGGCACAAACTGTTTTTGCTGAATTCACCGAGCACAATTTCTATATAAAGAAAACTAAAGGACAAACCAAATTGAAAGAATCACTGTTATAATAACTTTAATTTATCTTGCATTTTACAGAAGTCTATGAACGATTTTAAAAAAGCACCTCCTTACCCCCTCACGTTTCTCTGACAGTTGTTAAAGTAGGCAATGAGTATGTCAACAGCTTGAGCATCGGCATCTCGCAAGGATTTCACAGGCCAACCAACCACACGCCAAAGAACTTGGCAGCTTTTGTATCTTGTTTTTAATAAAATGTTATATCCACTCCGATGGTAAACCTGTCCAGCCAAATCTCCACAACACATTTTGCAATATCAGTGGTGATTAGCAAATTAGTTAGCTTTGGCACGGAGCTGTGCTCG